CTCCCACTTAGAAAGTTGTGCATAGAACTACTTCTCTTTCAACACATATAAAACAATCCTCGGATGCTCAGCATGATCCTCTTCACTCTTTGAATAGATCAAAATATCATCAATGAACACAACAACAAACTGATCACAATATACTGATGGAAAATTATATTCATGTATTCCCTAAAAATGCCAGGTGCATTAGTCACACCAAACGACATCACAGAATATTCATAATGATTATACCTCGTCCTAAAAGTAGTCTTCTGAATATCTTTAGCCTTAACTCGAATCTGATGATACCCAGACCTCAAATCAATCTTGCTAAACACACTTGCACCAACCAACTGATCCATCAAATCATCAAAATTGTGGAACTAATAGATTCTCCCACATATAAATGTACAAGTCACCAGATTCATATCCATTGTGGAACTAATTACTCACTTATTCACACTTGCATTAAAACAAAAATATTTGTTTTAATTTGTGAAGTTAGTCGATAATTCTAAAAAGAGTTTGAGGGCGTTAAAATCATTATATATATATATATATATATATATATATATATATATATATATATATATATATATATATATATATATATATATATATATATATATATATATATATATATATATATATATATATATATATATATATATATATATATATATATATATATATATATATATATATATTCTTTGTTTTATAATATATTCTTTTAAATCAGATATTTATATTATTTTTTTAATTTAATTGGAATACATTGACGGTGTAAAAAAAATTTTACACCACTCATTAATAAATAATAACCGTCATATCTTAACTTACGTTTGACTTTTATTATAAATATATCTAAAATAATAATTATGAATAATTATAAATGACTTTATTATAAATATATCTAAAATAATAATTATGAATAATTATAAATGACTGATTGTGTAAAAAAATTTATACTATATTATATAACAATTAAAACAATTATTTATATTATTACTGAAAAAAGTTTTGCTTCATCTTTTTAGTATATTAATTGTAAGAATATGAAAAGTAACACACTTTTTTTTATAAATCTATAATTATAATAATTTATTTTTAATACACTCAATAAATAGCTACAATATCGCCGAAAAATATCATAGTAAATCTTAAACTAAATTTATGAAACTGACCGATATGACAATTTTTTTACATTATTGTATTATTTTAAAAATGGATTTTATTTAATTAATTTTTAAAAGAATTAATTTTATGATAATAAAATATAGAAATGTTATATTTTATAAATTTAGAAAAAATAGTAAAGCACACTCCATACTATAATTGAAAAACAAAAATTATTTTCTTTTCTATTATATTAATAATTGTAAGAAATAGAAAGTAAACCATTTTTTACTAATTTATAATTAGTTATATTTATTTTTCTATACACATAAATTTGTATAGAATCTTATCAAAAGATAGAGCAAGAGGAAGTATTAAACACCCTTTTCAAATAATCAACTACTAACTTGAACCATTGTTGTATAATTTAGAGAAACTAAACTGTATATTCATTCAGTGATATTGGTCGATACTATGAAGTTTAGACAATATATTTAACAACCAAGTCTTAAATAATGGTCACCTAAAATTGTATTAAACTTTTTGAGATTTTAGCTATTAAGAATTTTATTTAATAGCAAATAAAATAAAATATAATAGAAAAAGCATAATTCAGATCATGATCAGTGGTGAAATATGGATAAAATCTTTGGTAAAATTGATTCGAATCAAAAAATAAATACGATTCGAATCATAATATTGATTCGAATAATAACTGTTATACTCCAATTATATCTGCCCCATTTCTAATAATCGAGTCATTTTTAAAATTAGATTTTTTATATTTTTACTAACATCTAGTTTTAATTTTTTTTTTAGTTTATTTAAAAACTAACTAGCTAGATTTTAAATTATTTTTCTACGTCAAAATAGGTTTATTTTTACTAATCTAAATTTATTCATATAATAGTCTATTTTATATTATTTGTATTTTTTCTAAATAATAAAAATATATTATTCTTCATATGTTTTCTAGTGCCATTTAATTTTAAATAAATGAGATAGCACAGCTAGTAAGAAGACATGTGTAAGAAATTTAAATATAAAGTCGTGTCATCAATTTCTCACATGCATATTTTTCTCCATTAATATTCACTACAAAAAATACTCTCATTTGCGACGTGAAATTCACGTCACAACGTGAAAAATCACGTCACAACTCCTAATTTGCGATGTGAGTGATCACGTGGCTGGGGAACGGGTGTCAATTTATTTGCAACGTGATTTTCATGTCACGGAGTTGTGACATGAAAATTACGTCGCAACATATTTTTATAGACATTCTGACTTTGCAGTGACAGCAGGCGCAACAGAAGGGATGTAGAAAAAACTATTTATTTGCCACGTGATTTTCACGTCACAAATTAGTGACGTGAAAATCGCGTCGCATATTAGTAACCATTCACACTTTCTCTTTGTTCTGTTTTTGTTTTTTTATAAAAAAAATAAGTTGCGACCTGATTTTCACGACACTAATCTTTTTATTTTTATTTTTTAAAATTATATACTGAAATTTGATATTCACTATATATATATATATATATATATATATATATATATATATATATATATATATATATATATATATATATATATATATATATATATATATATATATATATATATATATATATATATATATATATATATATATATATATATATATATATATATATATATATATATATATATATACTGAAATTATATATATATTATTTTTAAAAAATATTATGTCTTATAATATATAAAAATATAAATTTTCATTTTATTATTATTATTATTATTATTATTATTTTTTATATTCTGTTTTATAATATAAATACCATATATTTAATAAATATAAAATAAATTCGTATAATATATACATAATTTCGTTTTAAATAAAATTCTAAATTATATTTCTGTTTTATTTTTCATAAATCAAAATCATATTACAGAATAAACATTAAACAAAATTATTAAAAAAAATTAAAACAAAATTAGAGAAGATGATTGACTACCTTTAAAAATTAGAAGTGGAATAGAAATTAAAATTGGAAAAGATAAAGGTAGAAGGAAGAAGATGAAACAGAAAAGGAAGAGAATGAAAGAAGAAACAGAAGTGGAAAAGATCTGTGAAAAAGAAAAAATATATATAAACAGTCAACGACGTGATAATCACGTCGCAACCTTGCCACGTGATTATCACGTCGCAACGTCCCGCGCAGTCAACATTAAGGCAGATAATTTTCCCCCCTAAAATATTGCGACGTGAATATCACATCACAACTTGAAATTTGAAAATTCTAAACTTCTCACCATGTGCAGGTCATAACTTTCTGAAATATATATTTTAATTAATTGGTTGCGACGTGGAATTCACGTCGCAAATTTTTTTATAAAAAATATTTTTTGACTTCTCTTTTATTAACGTTATTTTTTATAATTTATTATTAAAATTATATAGCGACGTGATTATCACGTCACAACTTGCCACGTGATAATCATGTCTCAACTTCACTTCGCTGAAAAACATTTATCTTATAATTATTCACATATAATAGACACCAACCTTGCTTCATTATATTTCAATTTAAACATAATCTTCTAAATAATTTCATCATGTTTTCATCAATCCAAAAACAACAAGTATTATCAAATAATCAAAATTCAAACAAATAACAATAAACCAAGTTATTCATTAAAATAATAAGAACAACATCATAACAAATCATTCTGGTGGTTGTTTCTTCAGTTTTTCTTACATGTTAGAGGGACAGAAGATTAAAAAACACAAAAAAACTGAAGAAAAATGAAAGAAAGATGCATATCCGCAACTGCTACACAACACCGACGCAGCATGCACCACGAAGAAGAGCATTCATTCGGCCATGTTGCACAATCTCCTCCCATGAACATGCACCACTCACAACTGAACCAGACGCCGTCACCAAAAGAACCGGTCATCTCCCTCTGCTCACATCACACGTAGTCCCTCGCCTCACCGGAAGGAGATCGTGCATCACAGACCGCGCCCGTCCTCCGCACTCCCATGCGCCGCCATGATTTCCTGACATCTTTCACAACCACTGATCCTTTATCGCCGTGACTATCACAGCGCATCTGTTACAAATTTTCACCCATCGTTTTCTTTTTTCTTTTTTATTTTACTTTACCTTTTTTTTATTATTTCATTTGCTAAGTGTTGATATGTGATTGGCTCTTAGATACAATTTGAATATTTGGCTTAAGAAGGAACAAATGGGGGCGCCGCCTTTTGTTTCAAGTAAGTTGTGCTTTTTAATTTTTTCTCTTCTTTCTATTATTTACTTATTTTATTTCTTAAATTTAATTAGGTTTTTGTGTCACATGGGTTCTTGGACTCTAACTCGTATCTTTTCAATAAATCTCCACCCTTTCTACTTACTCATGCATCCTTCTGTCTTTTAATAATAATTTTTAGGATTTAATAACTACTTTAGCCTTAATCATTTAATTTTATTTATCTTTATATAAAAATATTAATAAAATATAAAACAATTAAAAATACAAAAAATATGCATATTTGATTTTTAAGTAAAAAAAATTTCTTGTGTATAATCAAACACTTTTTTTATCAAATTAACTTAAATATTTTTACAAATATAAGATTAATGGATACACGTCCTCGAGTAATTAATAGATTGGTTTAACGTCTTATCAATTAATTATTTAAATCAAATATTAAAATCCACGACAACTCATCAAATATTATTTTATTAATCAAACTATTTTTGCTTCGTGCGATGAGTTCACTCTCGCTCCCGTGCGACTAATTCAAACGCAAAAAAAATTCATAAATACGGATTAAAAATGAGTGAATCAACATTCATTCATTTGAATGATCAAAGACTTAGCGCACGCTATGTCAGCACAATTATTCTCTTCCGCAACTAAAACCAACCAACAAAACATCCGAACTACGTAGGGCTCTGATTTTTCTCATCCTCTGATGAGAGATGCGTAGGCACACCGTTGCGAAACCAAGGCAATACCACTAATTTTTAAACTAATTATTTCTCATTCTACCCCTACGTTTATATCCATCCTTTCGTAAACAAATGAAATATTGAAAGCATATTGTAATACGGTGAGAGAACTGAATTGTTTTTTCATTTTATCGCAAATGTTACGGATAGCAAGAGTCGCCACTGACTTTTCTTTTATCCGAGAAGGAAAGGGTGAAAAGAACAGGAAAGACCTCGAGATTATTGAGTTTGGCATGTAGGTTATGAAAAGGCAAGGTGTTAGCACCCTTTTCATCTGTAATTATCTAAGGGCTCTTAATCGCTAGCTCACTTTTGTTTTGAAAATGCTTTCGTGTTCGTGTATTTTGAAAATATTTTGAAAACTGCCTAAGTACGACAACTTTGTAATGATTCTTGTATCAGTTAAGAATGTGTACAAAGTGTCTGTTTTTTAAAATATTTCAGAGAAAGTGTTTATGAAAAAGATGTTTTGAAATATTCACGAGAAAGCGATTAAGAACTATCTACCTACTCAAAAGTCTTTCGTGTTATTTTGCTACTCCTTTAAATAGTTCTACCCTATCATTAGTTAGTAGGAAGACCTATCGTTGGATGTGAAGGGACAAGCGCGGGTCATCGTACAACCATAAAGGTAACTCGTAGGGGCGCTTTAGCAATTTATCGTAAGGGTCTGAGATTGTTTACCGAAGGCAACATCAAAGAGTCATCGAGGGATTACGATCTTTTTAACTGAGGGTCTTTGCTAAAGCATCCCCACGTTCGAGCGACATGACTGTGTTTCTGAGATAACAAGTGAGGTTACCCTAGAGGTGCGTGTGTGAAAAGTGGTTCATGTTCAGTTATTTTAATCTTGTAATTAGGGTTAGCTACGATTATTTTTGCCATACAATCCTATTAAGCTAAACAGTTATAAGGAAAGCGGTAAATGCATAAAGTAAAGGCAGGAGTTAAAGGGTCATACGCTATTACAAAGCTTCGAGAAAGGGGTACAAACAATAAAATTGTGGGAAAAGAGAAAACCCTAATTAAACTATTACAACCGTAATAAGTTACGTAATGATAAAAATAATGAAATACACGACAGTAAAATACGCGAAGTGGTAAAATAAAGAGAAACGGGAAAAGAAATTGTTTTGTGATTGTTTGATGATTAACCTAAAACCTAATTGATTTTAATTAATTAAAAAAGAGTTAGTTAATTAAGTTTAACAAAAACCTAAAATCTAAGTTGATTTTAATTTAATTAAGAAAACCTAAAAATCAAATTAGGGTTGATTAAATTAACAACCTAAAGTTAAATTAGGGTTTGTTAAGAAAAATCAAAGGTTTGTGAAAAATGTTAGGTTTTTATGAAAAAGAAAGAAAAGGAAATAAAGAAAGCAAGAAGAATAGAGAATCGTTAAACAAAATAACCAAATGGTAGGGGTGGGTGTTGAATCCACGCCCTCTGTACTTCCAGCCAATACCTTCACCACTAGGCCAAGCGTGCCTTGGTGATAGGTAACGGGTTCAGCGCATTTTGTTTAATCCTGCAAAAATATGAAAATATTAGAAAAACAAAAGTGGCAAAAGGTTGGATCGAACCCAGGCCCTTTAACACAAATGACTTATCGCGCGCGCTTTTACTGTTGGGGTGACTATACATCTGTTTATTTAAATGAAACCATAAATATATTATAAACATGAATATATTGACCGGAGAGGCGCCACATCCCTAGCTCCGGTCGTCTTTTCTGGTAGCCTGTTTTGACCAAACATGCAAAATACAAAAGGTTAGCAAGCGAAAAATGCTCTACCCCCCTAAATCAAGGGTTGTGAATCCAATGGAAGGATTATTGTAGGCTAAAACTGGTTAGCTTAAGAGCTATGAGAAAAAAACGCATGGATCGGTGCTAACATGGTGATCTACGATTTAGCATGCATGGGATCACTATGATGATCCAAACCTGTTCAGAGACATCTTAGAAGTATGTTAGTAACATCAATATGGCTTAAAATAAAACAAAATTAAAAATATAAATTTTGCAAGAATGTGAAATCGGATATGCCATGCGGTGAGGTTTCATGTGTTTTGGAATATTAAAACCGACCCATCCTTACTCTGTATGATTGTTAGGAGTGAATGAGATGGCTGCTTTGTAGTGGAAGGGTTTGTAACAAGGGTTTCAAGATTTTAGGGTTCTTGAAATTTTGAGATTTTTGATAACTTTTGAGGCAAGAGTTTTTTGTGTCTTGTATGAGAATGAATGGGAGAATATATAGGTTGAAATTAGGGCAAAGATATGGGCTTGGTCTTTGTGTAAAAGGGCTTTGTATTTTATTTTATTTATTTTGCATTATTAATGAATAAATAAAAAATAATTAAAATAATTAAAATAAAAATAGTTCAAGGGATGTATGAATGAATTATGAGGTGTATAAGGAGTATATAGAACGTTTGTACTTTTAAACAATGGCCCAATTGTCCAAAATATCCAGTTTGCTCAATTTAAACTTCATGCCTTTGCTCAAAATTTCCCAACTTGTATTGGTCATAACTCTCTCAATTTTCATCTTTTGAAGGTGATCTTGGACTTTTTGGAAATTTCAAGATGTCCTCTACAATATCTATGTTGATCGTTTTGGATTTTAGAGACTTTACCTTGATCTAAATTGCCTTGAAAAAAGTGTCTTTTTGTTGACTTTTGAAATGACCTGTAATGTATTGACTCATATCTCTCAAATGAAGCATTTTTTGGACTTGAGTTTAGATATTCCAAGTTGTAGAAATTGAATTCTCTTCAAGATGGGCTTTGGTTTGGGAAAAGTTGATGAAACATGTGAAAGTTATGCTTGGTCAAAGTTCCGTTGACTTCTCCTAAAGAAACCCTAATTTATCAACTTTTGACTTTTGATGATTTGAGAGATTTTCTTGAGGAATCATGATCAACCTTTAATCAAATAATGAATGTGGCTTCAAAATCTTGATGTTGACCAAACATATTGAGGTTTGACTATATGTTGACCACAATTGACTTTTTACTCAATACAGTTGATTTTCAATCATCTGAGTTATTGACTGGGCAAACTTGTGATGCAAGACTTGAAATTTGACATGAGCCTTCTTAGGGAAATATGAAGAACCATGAAAACCACTTAAGACCTTGGAAACCCAATCTTCCTTGAGAAATATAAAACCTTAGTTGTGAGTCCATTGCTTATGAGGGGAATTTATTCACCAACTCTTGAGCATTCTTGAACATTTTGAGAACCTTAGGAGATTATCTTGAAGACAAATGGGAGGGCAAATTTTGGGGTAAAACAAATGCCCATGTTCAATCTTCTTAAACCTGAAGAGTTAGATTGGCATGTCTGTCATTCGTGACTTGAAGGTAGAAGGTGATTGAACACTTAAGTGCCCAAAAATTTGCACTCGCATGTGCGGACAGTAACACTGTTGGTTGATGATATTGCTTGAATGGGCTTAAAGATGACATTAGGAGAGGTGATGAAGTGTCATCAGAGATGAGCTTATAGATGTCATCCAAAGTAACTGTTAATAGAAGTATCATAATGAGTCTACGCTTGACTGTATCTGAAGAATGCTTTTCAGAATAAATCTCTGAAGGAAGTGCTTTTCAGAATGATGCTAAGAAGGAAAGTGTTTGTCATGTAGATATTCGCCTTGTCCTTTTTTGGGAATTGATCTATAATCTATTTTTGTTGGTAAACTCGTCCTATTTAGGGAGTTTATACCGCTTGGTGATAAAGATAGTCGCCCCGTCCTGTTTCGAGAATTGATCTTCACATGGTCATAAAGATGGAAAGATAGTTTACACGTCCTGTTTCGGGAGTTAATCTTTTCCCGGTTGTATAGATGGTTTTCCTATCCTATTTGGGAGTTAATCTTCAACCTATTAATGTAGATAGTTGCCTCGTCCTGTTTCAGGAATTGATCTACAATTTATTTTCACAGATTGTTATCATGTCTTGTTTCAGAAATTAATTTGTGTCTGGTCATACAAATAGTTGCCATGTTTTGTTTCAAGAATTAATCTG